GATAGAAGGGATCTGATTGATCGATCAATAGCTCGGAGACAACCTACGGACATAAGTCCAATAGCTGCAGATTTGAGAACAACGCCCAGATTGCGCGGTACCATGGCTCAGGTTACCCAGTGAATGTCTACCAAGCCTAGTAACTGTAATCAGGATCTGTTACTGATACTGGAATCACTGTATGAAATGGAAAGCATACGCACGCGTGTGTATATTCCCAAGAACGTGAGCTTCCTCGATCCATCCGGGCTGAGGAAACGTAAAAGTATACATTTTCTGACATTGATGGTGGGTCTTAAAGACCGAAAATGGGTAGGCATTTTCCATACGTTTCGCGTACGGTTTTGCTGATTGACATTATGGCGTTGCACCGCGCTCACTGTTTGAAGTCGTAGGGTGAGAAGGAACCAGTTGCCGGGTATTCGGGATGCACTATTTGCCTTAAGACTGCGAGATCGGGTGTCACAAACGATTTTAGTTTTGAGAGCTTGGCAATGCGCAGTAGATATTGGAAATTATATCGATTGAGAACAGGATTCAACCAGGAGAGCGATGTCATTGTCGAGAGGTTAGAGGAGGAGGTCAAGAGGTTGTCATTACAATATTCAGAGTACCTGTTTAGCAGTGTTATTTATCAAGGTAGTTTTCCAGTGTTTGGCAACACGGCCTACGTAATCCAGTTCCGTGGCCTTGGTTGGGCCTTGGGTGAAAATCAAGATAAATATCCTTCCACCTAATGGCATACCACTGTTGCCTGTCTTTCAGAGAACTACTTCAATTTCTCACCGGTCTTAAAAATACATCTTACCCGGGGCTTGGATCAAATTCTAATTCGATGCCAATCTGACACAAACCTTCAAGCAGTCGGGAAGTCTGTATCCCGGTACATTCATCTATTGCCGGATCGTCTCATGACCTGTGTTTACACTCGCTCACCAATGACTCATTAGTGACCGTTGTTTTCGTCACAAGAACGCTAGCGTTTAGTGTGGACTGTCCAAAACGGAAGTAAACTTCTCCATCTTCAATCTCTGGCCTACCAAGAAAATAACACTAGACCTCAATGGTCGGGGTTGAGCAGCCAAGACACAGCGAGGGGTAGCCTTTATATCAGCCCCGAGATAAGTACGAAATTTTTAAAGATTATCTAAGGTAGTTCCTGTTATATAATGCATGCCAATAAGTCATTCATTCCATGAACACCTACATGAACTAATAACTATCGCTCCAGTGTCGTCGTCTGACTCTAGAGATAATTTGATATACTCCTATGACGTTATCCAACCATAAGTTTTTCTATAAGCCTGTCAAAATCCTTAGCCTTCAGTATCGATTATTTATAAAATGCTGGAAACCACGGATGAACGTAGATCGAGATTCTCGATGAATCTACACAAGATATAATAAACCATAGACCCTTCGCTTCACGCTCGAAAAACCCAGTCTCTTTTCAAGAATTAATTCCTCTGTTTTCATACCTCGTCGTGGCGTCATAATCCATTATATCCGATGTATAGAAGTTCTTGATGCAGTAACTGTGTGGCACAGAGTTCCCACTACATCCCTTCCCGCAGTAGGTCATGATGGTTACAGACTATTCTCCTTCAACCTGTTTTATCTCTGTGCTGTCCAAGATGTGGTGTTCGATGTTACAGCTATGCTGTAAATGTGCATTTTCAGTATACAGTTGGTGACATCGAACCCCATGAAGCGATTCTTCTATCTGCTGCGATAGCTCTCCAAGAAAGACTAGCAAGTGATTCTAGATGTGTAAAAGAGAGGCAGGGATCCGTGGAAAGTATCATGTATTAACTCTGGCGTAGATGACTGAAGAAGGTCCGTGATGCTGCCAAACAGTGCATTGTGACTAAAGCGTGTCTACGGATGTATGTGACGTCGATTAGAAGTAATTCCCAACAATAATTGCAATACAGCCAGAGAAGATAAACCTACTTTATGTTAATCGGTAGTAAATCCGCTGAATTTGCCTGCTGATATATGGGTGGCAACAACACGGCCGGAGGAAAGACGCATTTCACTCGGCATCCATCTGAATGATATCAGTTAGCTACTATTTTCAAACAGTTAAAATTATTTAAGATATCGCTTACTAGCGATTCCTACTCACATATAACTGAGAGAGCGAAACGATAGTCCCATATCTATTAATATGTAGAATTGGTTATTTATTATACGTTGATTTCTCTCCGTACTGCGTTAATGATGGATGCTCAAGTAGTACAGATCCTAAAAGCTTAAATTCGTAGCAAATACAACGTTCTGGGCGATAAGTACAAAGACGCAATGATAGCAAGAAGAATTTAATAGACTATGTACAGTCATTCACTGCCGGATGTAACGCAACCATGCAGTGTTACACTTTTCGTTTATCATTGTTCTTGGTCAAAGTGGTCAAAGTACCATCCATTATCTCGACAGAGAATGCAATATCACGCTTAAATTCAGCTTGAGTAATTTCAAGTAAAAATAATTAAGTTAATTAGAGCAATATCAGGGGCTGTAGATTTTTTTTCTCAATGATTTCCTAACTTGAATCTGTTTATTATGAATTAATGTTACACCAAGCATCGTCCAACCGGTGTCAGCTATTTATAAATACCGCCAAGCCGACGGTTAAAAATACCCCTCTTCCAACCCTCCGTCAATCCTTCCCATGAATACAGAGTCAATGTATTCGCTACTGTCCATAATCAAAACAACCAATCTCACCACACATTTGAACGCGGTAGTTTCCCTTCCGTCGTTTCCTGTCATAATACTCCACTTCGCGAAGATCCGTCGTATGATATTCTTCGACACAGACACCACTGTCCCGCGAACTAGTTTTGATCTCCTCCCCGCAACATGACACCTTCACCATTCTCGTTATCCTTCTTATATCTTCCGTTCTCCGACCTCTCAAGCTCCCATCACCATCAGGGTCATTATAGTCATGGTGAGAGATTCTACAACTGATTTCTCCATTCGCGTTTTCAGTATAGCCTGCATGACACCGTACGCAGTGCAATTCGCGAGCGGCGTCGTCTGAGAGATCGGAGAGCATTTCTGAGAGAGCATGAAGTTGTGGGAGTGGCGCATTTGTGACAGCATCGGATAGACAGTCAACGATTTTGTCGGCAAGGGAAGAGTAAAGAAGTCCTTGTAGACTGTTTCTAAGCGCTGCTGAGCTGCCTGATGGTGTCGACATTTGTATGAGATCGAAAAAAAAAATTATCTAGTGGAGCGAGTGGAGAGTTCGGTGGGTGGCCAGCAGTCGAATTTCGGGGTGGCAACTTTGAAAATGCACCCAGCCTTTATGTCGCTCGGATTTTCCGATGAGTGGCTTAGTGCTAGCATTCAAATGGATCTAAATTCAGGATTGTGACGGACTGCTGGCCCAAAAGCTTTTTTTGAATCAATTCCGATCTTGTTTCGATGAATAAAGCCGGATTCCGTATGTGTGTAAGTATAATGTCATCAAGTGGCACAAAGAGTAGCAAAGGTCGGCTTTCCAACGTTAATCTCCCAGGAATCATGAATGGCAATTGGAATCGAATTTATGATAACAGGGAATATTATTTATAACAGGGGATATTCAGAAATTAGGCGTGTTAACTGGAGTAAATACATCTTTCATAGTTCTGGCAACCGAGTTGGCGTCATATAACTAGAAGTATACATTAAGAGGAAGGATCCAATAGATTCAGTGAGTACGGTATTATCCATATGCCCAGGAGAGAAACAGAATTTTCGCCTGGCAGACTGTAAAGGTATAAATATTTCGTAGACGTTGAATCACCGATTATGAATCATGAAAATAGCGCCTAATTAAAACAGGTAGAAGTCTCTACTTGATACTCGATTATGAAGAACTTCCAAGTTGTAATAGCAACGTGGTACCCATCCCACCACCAAGTCTTTAAGTGGCCTTAAAAGCCGGATAAGTGTGATCGCTAAAAGGGTTTGAAGAGCAACAGTAAAAATGAAGACCAGCTTGAACATAAAGCATGATAGCAACTTGATTGAGAGAATTTTTTTTGAGAATGCAAATGGGGAATGACAGTGACTCCAGCCTGGTTCGAAAGGACCTCTCCTGCTGGATAAAACTTCCAAAACATAGAATAACTCCGGAGCAGTGGCGTCGCCATATCCATTCCGTCAGCAAATGGTTATATATTTCGAAGGCGAGGGGAATGTCAATACTATGTGAATAGGAAAGTCCCGGAAAAATAACTTTCAATGCCACGAAGCATTGACTCCAGCCTGATGCGAACAGATACCTTCTACTGCATAATTTTTGTAAAACATAGAAAGACTCTGGAACATACGCATTATGATACTAATATCCATTCAACTATCGAGTTGCTATAATCCAACTCCACGTGAATTATGTGCTCCCTAGCAGAAATTTTCATGAAAATAACTTGTTACAGATATTCATTCATACTACTGACTCGAGCTTGCTACAGCCTTGAGTAGGCATCTTCTACCGGATAGTCATCATGGCAATTTAATTAATCTCAGCAGACGTGATATTATAGAATATATTCCGCCCAAGTCGTTACATATCCAGTTTAAGAAGGGTGTCGGAGCACTTCGAGTGCTGAGATGCAGCTAGGAGCTAAAGGAAAATAAAATTTACATACCTTAGTACAATGATTTTATCGGCTCGTGTCTGATTCAAACAGGCACGTTATGCTTGGAATCCTGGAAGCCAGTTGGCCCATTCTGATATGATATCCATCCCGTCTAATTCAAGATAAGTGTCAATGCACTGTGAGTAGAAATGTTCAGACCTGAAAATCTCAACATCATTTAAATTACAAAACCGACTCTAGCCTGATTCGAATAGGCAACTTCTGCTTAAACACCCAGAGCCGATATTAAATGATAATATCCATACCTCCACCGAGTCATTATACACTCCTAGTCGAAGGCGAATGCTGAAGCACTTCAAGTGGAATGTGAAGGGAAATAAAATCTATACAATGCCTTTACAATGACTCGGGCCTGATTCGAACAGGCGTCTTCTACTTATATACACACAGCATTAGACATAAAGCCTACAGATGCGTCGCCATTCCGCCACCGAGCCCTTGTATACCCCCACTCGAAGGCGAGTGTCGATGGCTCTACGGGGAACGTTCGGGTACTATGAGGTAAATACTAGATCTAGACACCAAAAGGTGAACAACAACCATCATCGACTCGAGCCTGATTCGAACAAGCACCTTCTGTTGAACAAGTCCCACCACACGCACCAGCTAGAGCAGACGCGTTTTCGTAGGATCCATTCTGCCACCAAGTCGCTATATTCTCCCAGTTCAAAGCGAGTGTCGATGTCCTTCGAGTGATGAATCCGAGATGTGAAAGGGATTTAAAAAAAAATAGATCAGTGTATGCCATTACCGACTCGAGCCTGATTCGAACAGGCATCTTCTACTGGATAATCCCTGAGCTACCACTCAATCTGAGTAGACGTGTTATCCATTCCACCATCCAGTCGTCATGAAAATCTAGTTTAAGGCGGATGTCGATACCATTCGGGTATTAAAGTTCTGGAAAATAATATATCTTATCGTTAAGTGGTTCACCGACTCGGGCCTGGTTCGAACAGGCAACTTCTGCTTGAAATTAAAGTGGGTTTATGAATTCTATGCAGATACGTTCTCCATTCCGCCACCGACTCGTTATACGAGACTAGTTCAATGTGAATGTCGTTGAACTTCAGATGCGAGACGGAAATCAAATTTAGACGCAAAATCATCAGTAACAGCACAATCGACTCGAGCCTAATTCGAATAGGCACCTTCTGCTTAAACACTCAGTCACAAAACCTGCAGATGCGTCGTCCATTCCGCCATCGAGTCGTTATATGATATCAGTTCGCAGTGAATCTTGACAGATCAAAATAAATCCAAGAAACGACGCAGGATTTCTTTATATACGAACGCATGTCAGTGGAATATCGAACTCGAAGCATGTAATAGATCTTCCATGGTTACCTGTGCTGCTAAACGCCGCGCATTCGGAAGTTCGAAAATGCGGAGGTGGCTGGTCAGAATGGAGGAACTCAGAGACCTTACATGTAAACGTCGAAGAGGCGCACATGTGATGCGGGGATATACCCCAGATTCCAAGAAGCCAAGTGCGGAGTAGGAAATGTGGGGTAAGAGCTCTTGCCGACGGTAAGGGACTTCCAAACGCATTTTAGAAGCTCTCGGAACTTCGAAAATGCGGAGGACCCCTTCTTTTAATTAACCATTCGAACGAGAAATACGCAGCGTCATAGTGCTCAATACAGTGTTTCCGGAATAAATCAACCCGATCCCTGAACTCCGTCAAAGAATGAATTTGAATTTGGCTGAAAGCAGTAATTCCCGAAGTGGTGGAAAAGATGCCCGAAAAGGAAATGCGGAGTCCAGTAGCGCAGAAAAATCTGGGGTACCATCAAGGGGAGACAAATGAAAATCTGGAGTAGACTTTGTAGCTGAAGAATGAGGTAATGCTCTTCTTTAGACCTGCCGCGAGATGGTGGCAGTCCCGATGAGTCAAGTTTGTCTAATAGTGCCGGCGGCGGTCTGGCCATCGAAAGTCCAAGGCATCTAGACTTCCTTGAAAGATAAGACCATTGACTTGCTGCGCTTTTGTGAATAGAAGGGGTCTTTTGGAATGGTAGGCCAAACCACACCGTCGTGCTGGGATTTGTGCTATCCCACCATCGTAGCTGGATTTTTCTCTCAGTTATTCAGTACAGTATCGAGCATGGGCTTTTTCTCCTCATCTTACGCGATGCGCAGTTGGTTTTTGAACGCTTTCGATGGGAACATTGCTGCTCAATATAATACATTTCATGACAAGCGATTAGATTCCAGTGTGGTGGTGTGACTGTGCGAACTCTTCCCAAACTCTTCCTCACACATGGCTTTATATTTTGATCCCCGGACGAAGCGGCAGATGCCCAAAACGATCGTGGGTGCTGTATCCCGTGCCCATTCCGAGTTCCGTGATGTAGGGTATGATGATTCGATGAAAATTATGGAAGCTTGAAGATGGAATAACATATATCCATTCTTCTCCGTTATGTTCGTTCCGAGAGTGGGCACGTGAACCCGGTATCCAAATCGATATCGCGATATAGACGATTAAACCTCGTGTTGCACCTATCCGTGTAAGAGTTAAACCAGGATCGAAGTCTGAATATGCGCTATTTTAAGCTTGTATTCAAGCAATCTGAGCACGAGGAAGAAAGAAGAAGAGGAACGGAAGCGTTAAGTGACGGCATCGCGCTGATAAGCATAAGAGGGCCGAGGAGTGCGGGATTATATAGGGTGAGTTTGGATGCCGTAGGCGTATTTGGCGCATAGACAGAATGGTATAGGATAGAAATCTTTGAATCAGAACGAAAATTTCAATCAACGAGAGGAAAATTTTATTCAAGGAGGACGAGCGGAACTCAAGAGGGCTTTGAGAGGAGGTTTAATTGCGGATAGGCTAGATGAATGTCTTCGATTGGATGCGAGGCAGACAGGAGGTGGAGTGCCAGCTAGCAAGTTAAAGAGCCAAGGCGCGTACTAAACGCGCTATCGAACGACTTTAAATTAATGTCCTAGCGTGCAAGTGATCATTATTGACGACAGCAACCACACTCTGGGATGAGGTTACGTGACGCGCTGAGGCTCACATGGCCGCGTCCCACACGAGCGGAGGGCGAGAGAAGGGTTTTGGGGAGCTGTTTTTGGCACGAGGTGGTAGAAATGTACTCGCGTTATCCTCACGGGATGCCATGGCGGGATCAGAGTGGGCTGGGTAGTGGTCGTTGGGTTGGGAGAGTAAGAGGGACTGGGTATAGCACATTATTATTGAAAGTGGAAATTGAAAGAGCCCATTTGGAGAGTCAATGCTTCGAGACACTGCTCTTATTGCTACGATGATTATTATCGTGATGCCAAGCAGCGGGGATGGATTTCCGTCAGCATTACGAGTGGTGCAATGCTAGCGGGACTGAAGACTGAAGAGGACCAACCCTCCCACGGCGGGCGAACACGATGACGAAAGGGTGGTGCATCCGGGGCAGGCGAAGAGTCGCGTAGAGGCGATGTTGCCAACGGCGGTATGGAAAGAAGAAAGTTAGAAGAGAGAAAAGACAATGTGACGCGCTGACGTAAGACGCGGCGCGTGGATTAGATACGCGTTCTCCTATATCCGTTTGTTCGGGACGGCCATTTATAACCATCACCGCACGGTAACAAGATGCGAATTAGAAGAAGCGAGAAGAAGGGATTTATACCCAGAAGTTACTTCAGCTCCACAGGACTGCGACTATCCCTTTCACCACGACGAGCATGATGCTCCCGATGCGCTTACGCGCCCTCCTCGCCCTCCTCCCTCTCGTTGCAGCACAGAGTCCAAGTGGCTCGGGCATCCCCAGTGTTAGCATTCCTGCTGCCCCGTCTTCAGTAGTAGTTTCGTCTACGCTCTCTTCTGCTGCATCCTCAGCAACGTCTGTAGTCTCTTCGGCCATCCCCTCCGCATCTACCGTCTTCTCTACTGCCTCCGCTGCCTCTTCTGCCTCCTCGACAGTCTTGTCTTCTGGGTCAGCCTCCCCCTCCAACGCATCCTCAGCAGCCCTCCCCTCTGGTTCAGCCTCAGCCTCCTCCGTCGCTTCTGCATCCACCATCCTCTCCTCCGCCCCTTCAGGATCAGCAGCATTCCCTTCCCAACCCCCGGCTACCACTACTGCCTCCACCATCCCCATCGTACCCACCACTTTCAGCCCCTTCCCCGTCCCCAGCGACCAGCCTATAGCTGGCGTGTACCCCGCTACGGATCCAAGCAATCCACCGGCTGTGAGTTTTCTCCTTGCATTATTGCGAATTGGAGCAGAGAGCGGCGTGAATTGGCCGTTGGAACGTTGTTGCCGCGTGTATCGCAGCGTGTTCAAGTTCTTCCTTCGATTCACGTCGTTCGCCTTGTTGCAATCCATCGATCCTCCCTTCCTTGTCTTCTCATCGTGTTCCTCCTCGTCTGTTTTCATCACGCGATGCTTACCAATTCTCTAGGTCAACTCCCCACTTATCCCAGACTTTGGTCCCGCATGGAAAGCTGCGTATGAAAAGGCAAAGGATAAGGTGTGTTGTCGGTTCTTCTCATGGTCTTGTCCTTGTTGGTGTTCTTCTGAGCGTCGCGTTGTTCGGATGCTGGGTTGTTCCCTACTATCGTGTTCTTCCATCTGTCTTCCTTCAAACCTCTACCCTCGATACCCCTTCATTCTCCTCATTCACCCAGCTATCACATTTATCTTCCACTATCACATATTCCACTTCATTTCTTCTCTGCTTCTCGCGCCCATCCTTCATATCAATCCACTTCTCTTCTTCCTTTATTAATGATAATGATCCTAATCACCAATCCTATTTCATTATTCTCCTTTCCATCTCTCCGACCTATCAATACTTACTCCTCCCTCTCCTTTAGGTTGCAGGCCTCTCCCTCGAAGAAAAAGTTAATGTTACCACCGGTGTCGGGTGGATGGGCGGCCGCTGTGTCGGCAACATTCCCGCCATCGAGCCACAGCATGGTAGAGGATGGCCTGGTCTGTGTCTTGAGGTGCGTTCCCGTATAGATCGAGTTATATGGATAGTCGAACTAACGTTCTGTGCGATCAAAGGACTCCCCCCTAGGCGTCCGAAACGCCGACTTCGTGACTGGATTCCCAACAGGCATCAACGCAGCTGCTACGTACGTCTCCCCAGACCCTACTTCCAGTATTATTCTTCAGACTAACTCATTCATTCCTTCCCCGTCTGTCCTTTCACCCTAAATCAACAAATCCAGCTTCAACCGCCCACTCATCCGCATGCGCGGTCTCTTCATGGGTCGTGAGCATGTCGGCAAGGGCGTGAACGTCGCTCTCGGACCGATGATGAACATGGGGCGCGTAGCTCAGGGGGGCCGAAACTGGGAGGGATTCGGTGCAGACCCGTTCCTCACCGGGGAGGCGGCGTATGAGACGATATTGGGCATGCAGGAGGCGGGCGTGCAGGCGTGTGCGAAGCATTTGATTAATAAGTGAGTTTGAGCGAAAGCGAAACCTCTTTCTTTCTTTCTCTGTCTCTCTTCGGTGTTCTTTTCTTTCGGGAGGGAGACATAGAGGGGAAAGCTCCCGTTATATGTTTTCAGGCGCTGACGCGAGTTCTCTTGCAGCGAACAAGAACATAGACGCACGCAGGAGTCATCGGACGTAGACGACAGAACGCAGCATGAGATTTACGCACATCCTTTCTTGAGGAGTGTCATGGCGGGCGTGGCGAGTATTATGTGCTCTTACAGTGAGTATCGTTTTTATTCCCAGTTTGATGTTCTCGTCTTCCCTGCATTGTTACTTTTATGATCTGTTTCATTGGAGGCTGTATTCTGGGAATACTGGTTTTCTCTCGGCTTTGCGCGTCGCTGTATACTCCCTACACTTTGCCCATGACCTTTCGTTACCCTTCCCTTTACCATCTCCCTCTTTCACCAGACAACGAGATGCTCACCCCATTCTCTAGACCTGATCAACGGCACCTTTGCATGTGAAAACTCCAAGATCATGAACGACATCGTCAAGCGCGAGTATGGCTTCCAGGGGTACATCATGTCCGATTGGCAGGCGACCATGTCTACTATGGCTGCCGTTACTGGGTTGGA